GAAATTATTTTTATTGAACTTAAATTATTTTCACTGAACTGAAAGTATTTTTACCAAACTAAAATTATTTTTATTGATTAAAACTTATTTTACTGATTCTCTAATATTTTTTTAAATAAATTAAATAACAATGTATTTTGTATGTGGCTAACCACAACATCTGGCCAGACAAAGTAACTCCTATAAAACTGATCGAGTAACCCTTGTAATACTAACTGAGTAACCTCTAACACTGACTAAGTAACTCATGTCTATAACACTGATTGAGTAACTATTATAACACCGATCAAGTAACTCCATAAGGCTATAACACTAATGAAGTAACTCTGATCTTGTAATGGTTGGTGACACGGTTTAGCCAGGTACGTATAAATGTGTGATTAAATATATATTATAAATGGATTTTATTTTAAAGAACTTTTTAAAACGAATTTAATGATGAAAATAGAATTGAGTTATAGGATATTTATTAAAAGTTATGGTTAATTTTGTACATATGAAATATTAGAAGTATATATTGATAATAAAACTCTATACAACAATTTTATCTTAAAAAATCTATTAAAAATCGCTTACTTAGCATCATATGTGTCACAATAATATTTATATATCTTCTGTTACGTGGCGCCTTGACAAAAAACTGAAATGCCAAGTGTTGCTTCTCGTGGATTGACATGCGAGACCGACTTTATTTATTAGTGATATGATATGATATATATTAAATTTCAGGCAGGAAATTAGCAATTTAGCATTATGTTATTACGTATAAGAGAAGCGAAAAACGGATTAAGAAATCCAGAAAAATTGACGAAGTGTCAACAAAATTAACCATCTTAATTAAGTTTGCTGGGAAAAGCATTACCCCCAAATCTCTTCAACTCTGTCTTCCCTCTCTATCCTCTATTTTGAACTTCATCGCACGATTCTCTTCAACAACTCAAAATTAAAGGTTTGAGATGTTTAATCTGTTCAAATTCAATGTTCTGATGTGCTTAATTTTAGCTGCAAATCATTGACATTCTTCAATGACAAGCTTTCTATCATGTTTCATTTCATTATAATTTAGGGTTGATGCTATAATTCCACATGATTAGTTCATTATTTTGGTATGTAATTAGTTACTTTCTTTGCTTATTTTATACGGAGTATAGAACTAATTAAGTAATTATGATTCTATGTTTGCTTAAAACGTAATTTACTCATATACACACATGTAATTTTGTTTGTTTGAGCATCATTTGGAGTGATTTGAAAGAAAAACTAGCTTATTTCTCAATAATTAGGGCTGCAGGAAATCTCATTTATATTTGATTAGTTAAAATATCAATTTCATGGGTATATAAACCTTTTTTTGTGGATAATCAGATTGAGTTGATGGATCCTTAGAAAAGAGAAATGATTATATATTAATGTGTCTTCATGATCCTGAAAGTGCTGCTTGATCAGTTGTCCTAGTTTTTTGTTTTTCTATTCTTTATTTTGCTTGTCGTGGGCCGGGCTGGAGTGGTCGTGGTCGTTGTACTTGTAGCCTTGTAGGGGTTTAATGGATGTTATATTTGGATGGATGCTGGGAAAGAACATTGCAGGGAGGAAATGATGTAATATTATTAAAGAAGGAATATTAATTTACCACAAAGTTGTTACAGAGGATTAACTAAGAATGTTAATTGTGATTACCGTTTATAAATGTATCTGATTACATAGGTTACGAGTCAAATTCTTGTTATTACTCTATTTCCTTGTTGTTGATGTATTAAGGTTTCAGATTATTCCATAACATGTAGGCAGGATTGACATTCGGACTTTTGTTTCACTAATCTACAATTTATTGTGTGTGCTACAGCGAGGCTTTTGAATTTATATTTAGCCTAAATGAACTCTGAGAATGAAGAGATTGGTGATAGTGAAGAGCCTATGCCTCTTCCAAATTGGAGAAGCAACTTACACAAGAAATTTCAGCACTACTTGGATAGATCGGTGCCTCATCTGTTGCGGAGATGGCTTGTAACGATAGGGGTGGCAATGATCTATATTTTGAGGGTTTATTGGGTCAGGGGATTCCATGTTATATCCTATGGTTTGGCCACTTATGTGCTGAACTTGTTGATTGGATTTTTTTCTCCAAATGTTGATCCAGGGCTTGAAGGACTAGATGGAGCTCCTCCATCTCCGGCCTCTCCGGGCAGAGATGGTGATGAATATAAGCCATTTGAGAGACGAGTGCCCGAGTTTCGGTTTTGGTAATGTATTTCTCTTATTTCATAAGGTCATCATTAACTTATTAAGGACAGTTTTTGATATGCTAGCTTAAACACTTATCTTCCTAAAGGTACCATCTAGATTATATACATTGCGACATTGATGTTTGCCTTGTCCTCGGTCATGAATATTTTGTTATCCCCACAGCAGACATCACTGCCATACTCAAAACTGCATATGTAAATTTTAAAGAGTACATTAGTTTTATGAAAACCATATGATTCATTTTTCATTGTACTCATCTGTTAGTACGTGGATCACCCCCCCCCCCCCAAAGCACCAACACATTATGTTTCTATCAGATGAGTGATGAGTCGTGTGGTGTTTGTTCATCCTTTTGGTTAGGTTTATTTAGCTTTCGTTTTATGCCTTCTTGCTGATGACAGACTTTGGGTGTAATCTTTCTGTAAGGTTCACAGCGTCCACTAGGACCTACTACTTTTTCCTTTCAAACCTGCTTGGTGTTTTTTGAAATTATGTTAGCGGGAAATATCTTCCTGCTCTTGTTCGATTGTTCGGGCTTAATAATGGTTGCTAGCCTGCTGGGTAGGCTCTTTGGTTTTCATTTGATTAGTCATAGATCATGGAGAATTACAAATAGTCATGTTAATACTCTACATGTCAACCGGCTCAATCCTAACACCTATCGTTAGTTGGAATGATGCGTTGCTGCCAATACCAAAATTTCTTGTAAGGTCTTAAAAAAAAAAAAAAAAAAAAAAGAAAGATAGGTAGTTATTCTCAAAGCTAGCCATAATTAGGTGTTTCTTTCCACAAATTTATCAAAATAATATTATGACATTACTATATCATACAAATCTTATGGTATAGATTTCTTAAATTTTATCAATGTTTTTTGAGAGAAATTAAGGGTGACAGTTGATTTAATGAAAGCATGGAGGCTTTAAATTATGAAATAGAGGGGGAATTATTTGAGAAGAGGTATGACTATACTATAGAATGTAAAAATGAACCTGTTACAGATTGTGGAAGTGAATGCCCTCGACAGGTGTTGAATCGTTCACCATAGAAGGTTGATTTTACCTCTACAGGATGCCCAGATGGAATGGTACTTGGCACATTCCATATGAGCCTTACATGCAGGCACTGCTTATGTTTATGGATAGAAAAATGTTTGATAGGGCCCATGAAACCTGTGATCCCTATTGTCTCTGTCCTCCCTCCGTTCCTAATTTAGGCCAGCTTACAGGCCTTATTCCTTTTCATCATAAATATCATGGATCTTGTGATCTGAAGAATCGTGTCGCTAACTGCTAATTTAAGATGAATATGTTTATATTGCTCAATTCGTGTTTCCTGTGGTCAATCAGTTCAAATTTTACATTTTTTTTTAATTTAAACTAAAATTTGGAATTTCTGGTGTACATTGGCATGTCTTTGACCATTTTACAATTTCAATCTCAGGTATGCCATCACCAAGGCTTTTATCGTTGCATTTATGTTGACCTTCATATCTGTGTTGGATGTACCGGTTTTCTGGCCAATATTGTCAAGTTACTGGGCCTTTCTCTTTGTGCTCACAATGATACGTCAAATTGTACATATGATCAAATACAAGTATAATCCATTCAGCACTGCAAAACCGGTGAGGATGTTCTGCACTTCTGCTACTTGTTATGTGATTCAGTTTTTGAATTCTTCATTGTTTAGTGATATAATAGTTCAGAGCTCCAGTTGTTGCTTTTTAGGTTATATTCTGAACCATTTTGTTGCGTGTACCTATGTTTCTAATCAGGTCTTTTCATTCTCTTGAATTTTCCCACAGAAGCACAAGGTGAAGAAGGAATCAACTAGCAACAGTAGCATACTTAGAGATGAATGACCAGAAATTGAAGAAAGCATAACACATGTATACTTCATGGTGTCTAAAAGAATAAATGTAGTCAGTAGAAAGTGGTGTTACTAATTGTTAAGACGAGCTTGTACATAATCAGTACATTGCCTTTTATAGTCTATATATGATTCTCTCTCTCTTTTTTTTTTTTTCCTTTTGTATGTTACCCTGTTAGTTGCTTTGTTCCTTTCAGAGCATTTTCATTAGACATGATATTATTTTGATGAATTTTCCTGGACAATGCGTGTTTACTTTGATCTTAAACAAAAAACGTATAAAACATTTTTTACAGTTAAATTGCAAGTTGATACATGTCACACTGACTCCCCTTTAATTGTGGCTTGAATGCTCTAGTCAATCCAAGATTGGCTTGAATGCTGGAGCTACATGCATATAATTGTACAGTCAGGAGCTGACGAAGTTCCAAAGTAATGCAATATAGGTGGACATTGGAGTACACATTTTCCTTTATTTCTCACCTCCTAGAGAAAAAGGTTTGCTGAGGGACATATCTTCTTGTCTTATGCTCACAATTTCTGTGAATTTTTTCAGTCAGAATTTTTTATGATGATACAGGTAGAAATGATTAGTGATTTCCAAATTGTTGCTTATTGCAGGTGTGAACGGAGTAGCCAACACTAAAAATTGCTGCTCATGCATGATTTATATAATCATTTTACGGCAACAACAGAGGCTTTTGCATGGTATTTGAGAGAAAGATGGTAAAAATCCCATACTGTGATCTATGCAGTAGTTTTTTATTTTTTTATATGGCTGGAAGCAATTATTTAAAATTATTGTGATGGGTTTTTTTTTTTTTTTTTTTTTTTTTTTTTTTTTTTTTTTTTTTTTTTGTGTGTGTGTGTGTGTGTGTGGGGGGGGGGGGGGGGGTTATTGATTAATTTGCAGATGTGGTGGGAGAATACTGATTAGCCTGCTGCAAGATATGTGAATGTGGGAGCCTGTGAAGCAGACTGCGGTGCTTGAAAATTCATTCTGTGAGTGTATTTAGGCTATAGGAAGCTTGCAAAGTGAGTTGCATCTGCTTTTACGATTCTTAGAACCTACTACCTATTATCCTTAAATTGGTGAAATTTTCACACTAGATTGAAAATGCTTTAAATTACTAGTTTTGCTACAATCAACCTTGCCGCAAAATGGTCATTCACAATGTGGCAAGTGATAGGGTTTTGGTCAGGCTATAATTAGGTCTGCAGTCTGCTAGGAAAGTTTCTTAAACTGATTCCTTTATATGGTTATTACTGCAAAATGGGGTTGACTGTTACTCTATTAAATTCATATTGTTTTGTTTCTAGAAGTTTACACATTTTTCCCAATGCTAAAGTCCTCCTGACAAAAAATTCTGTGATGATGCATCTTTCTACTAATTATTTTACAAGGCAATGTAGCATTCAAAGTTATATTTTAATATAGATTTGACCATGACCATCTCATGCTTAATATCCTATTATCTTTTACACCTATCTTTTGAACAATCTGACCAACTATTTACAAGCTTATGCCAAAATAATTTAGACATGGCTACGATTATGACCATGATGATATAAAAAATTTGAAAACTTTTGAATAGTAATATTATATTATATTATATTTTCTTGCGCAAAAGTTAGAAAGTACTCGTAAGACGTAAGATATTGGAACCAGCTAAGGTTTTCACATTATATTCTACCTTCTGATTTTCATTGCTTGACTCATTCTTTCTCCTTTTATCATTAGTTTATATTACATTCTAAGTTTCAGTTGCAAACCACCTTCCATGAAAGAACTAGATGTTTGGTGTAATGGCTGATTAGTTTTCCTCTACAGAAATGGATAGATTGTTCCATGCTGCTCAGACAGGGGATATTGAGGAATTGCACCAACTACTAGCAAGGAACCCTCTTATCCTTCATCAAGTCCCGCTTATATGTTCTCAGAATCCCTTACATTTTGCTTCTGCTGCTGGGCACTTGGATTTTGCAAAGAAAATACTGGAACTGAAGCCTGAATTTGCTAGACAGGTGAATGCAGAAGGTTATAGCCCCATGCACTTAGCATCTGGATGTGGACACATACAGATAGCTAGAGAGATGATCAGAATTGACTCAAATATTTGCCGTCTTGAAGGCAAAGAAGGGACGACACCTCTACACCTTGCAGTGCTGGGAGGGAGGGTTGACTTAATTATCGAAATGCTAGCTTATTGTGAAGGGTGCATAGAGGATGTGACGGTTCAGAAAGAGACTGCTTTGCATCTTGCTGTCAAGAGCTTTCAGCTTGAGAGCTTGCGTGTTTTGTTGGATTGGACCAGGCAAATGGACAAAGAAGAGATTCTGAATAGAAAGGATGAACATGGGAATACCATCCTGCATCTTGCAATCTGGAAGAAGCAAAGAAAGGCAAGTCTCATCTTTATGAAGTTTTTTTTTAGAATTATTACCATGTTATAATCGTATCCAAAACTAGTATACAAGGACCTTGGCTACAACCGTTCCCTTCAACTTATTAAATAAAATCAGTAAAATCAAGAAAGGTCAGTTGTAATCCGTAATAAATCAGGAAATGGCTAACTGCATTTTCTGAATATGACAAAAACACTAGTGAATCAACAAAAAGCAGTCATAGAAAAGTTAGTAAAATTCAGTTACAACTAATAACAACCACGTCAAAATCAGTACATATAAATCAGTAAAATAATTCTTACATCAAAAGCTATTTCCAAATGTGGTACCCCCCCCCCCCCCCTTTTTTTCCTTTTTTTTTTTCTCTTCTAGTTTAGATTTAGATATCTGTCAAACAAGATAATGATTGTTTCCTTCAAATTTACAAAACAATTGAATGTAGACTGTGGATCTGCTTCTGAGGAACAATTCTAGGACTCTGGAAGTGAATGCAATAAACAATAGTGGTTTGACAGCACTGGATTTATTGTTGATTTTCCCAAGTGAAGCTGGTGACAGAGAAATTCAGGAAATTCTTCAGGGTGCTGGGGCATTAAAAGCTCAAGAACTTACCCTCCACAACACAACCTTTACCACCTCAACTAACGATCCTTCAGTTAACAACCATTCAGAGGATCTCATTGAGTACTTCAGATTTCATAGTGGGAGAGATTCTCCAAGTGATGTTCGAAGTGCACTTCTAGTTATCACTGTGCTGGTAGCAACAGCAACGTACCAAGCTGGTATCAGCCCTCCTGGTAGTGTATGGCAGGATGATGGTCAAGGCCATCTTGCTGGAACTTCCGTCTTGGGCACCCATGACTTAAATTCATATATCATCTTAGTTTCGTGCAATGCTATTGGATTTAATGTCTCTCTTTACGCGATAGCTACACTAACAGCGAAATTCCCCTTACAGACAGAGCTTCAAATCTGTCTCTTTGCTTTGTACGTCACATTCAATGTTGCTGTAAGTGCTACTTCACCCAAAAGCACCAAAACTTTTACAGCTGTGTTCACGTCTGTGACGTCTACTATAATCCCACTGTGCTGTGGCTTGCTCCGAAAATTTTAAGTTTTTGAACGTACAGGCGCATAAGTTGCATATTTGGAAGAGAATGTTGAATTGGGGTGCTAGAATAGTGGAATAGGGATCATAATCTTTTTCATAATTCAAGGTAGATATTATTGGAACCCATTGTTTGTTGTAATTGTACTACTCTTAAGGAAAATTTATCAAAAATAAGCCAACTTTTGTGCGGCTCAAAATAAGTCTACCTTTTGATTAACAAAAAATAAGTTGAACTTAATATGATGTCTACCTTTTTGTTGGCTTTGGTTCCTTGCAGAACATTGTCATTAGACCTGATAATATTCTGATGAATTTTCATGGACAATGTGATTAATTTAATTTTAGACCAAATCATGTAAAAAAATTTTGTACAGTTATTTTGCAAGTTGAGACGTGTCAACCTTACTCTTCTTCAATTGTGGCATGTTCTAATCGATCCGATATTGGCTCGAATGCTGGAGCTATGTACTTACAGTGAAGGAGGAGCTGGCAGAGATCCAAAGTAATGCAATATAGATGGACATTGGAGTATACATTTTCCAATTCATCAGCTTCCAGAGAAAAGGTTTGTTGGGAGACATTTCTTCTTCTGTTAACAATTTTTGTGGGTTTCTTCAAACAAACGTTCATATGAGATAGAGGCTGATTTGATTTGTGATTTCCAAATTGTTGCTTATTACAGGTGCGAATGCCGTTGCCAACACTTATAAATATTGCTCAACCATGACTCATGTACTCAATTTACGGCAAAAAATTGGTGGTGGTGGTGGATGTGTGTGTGTGTGTGTGTGGGGGGGGGGGGGGGGCGCTGCTGCAAGATGTGGTGGGATAATATTCCTGCTGCAAGATGTGTGAATGTGTGAGCCAGTGACTCAGACTGCGGTGTCTGAAATATCTCATTCTGTGATTGGTTTTAGGCTATATACTTGCAAAGCAAAGTCATTAACTTCCGCTTTCACAACTCCCAGAAGTCACTGCTAATACCTTTTGGTGAACTAAAAACTTGGTTGAAAATGCTTCTATTTGTTTGATAAAGAATGCACATGAACATCATGCCTGGCCCTTGGCACAGCCCAGCTGTCTGAGCAAATGTAAGTGTTCCGGCCTAGTGTTTACCTCGCCCTAAGCTTCATTTCTCTGGTGTCACTTTAATAGCTGCTCAGGGTCTCTAAAACCAATTTCTTTCTTTCTCTTGATTCCATCTTCCTTCTGTGAAGAATTAAGAGATGCTGCCACCTCCACTTTAAGTAAAAAAGTAACCATTTGGCATTTGCCTAAGTTGCATCGCACGCTGTTACTGCTCAAAAAATGCTTGCTTGGGTAATAGGGAAAAGCCCGTCTGACAAAATAAATGTTTTGTGATGTTGCTTGTTGCTACTTTCTTCCTAGTATATTACAAAATATAGTAGCTTTCAAAGCCGTATTTGTTGGAAAGAATGGAAACCATACTTAATTTAGTTGATTAAGCTATTTTAATATAGAGTATGATTGTGTCATGCTAAAAACCCCATTAGCTTCTTACACCTATCATCTGAACTCTGACCAAATAATTTTTGACATGGCGATGATTATGACCATAATAATATAAAATATTCAAAGACTTTCGAATTGAGTAATATTTTAATAATATTTCATAGCGCAAAGTTTCAATGTACTTGTGAGATGTTGGAATCAGCTTACGTTTTCACATTTATAGATTACATTCTATCTAACATTCATTGTTTGACTTTTTCTGAGTTCTTATATGTTCCATTTATCATTAGTTTGAATAACATTCTAAGTTTCAGTTGCAAACCAAAACCATTTTCCAAGAAAGAAGTAGATGTTTGATGCAATGGTTAATGAGTTTTCCTCTGCAGTAATGGATAGATTGTTCCAGACCGCGCAGACAGGGGATATTGAGGAATTGCTCCAACTGCTAGAAAGGAATCCCCTTATCCTTCATCAAGTCCCACTTATATGTGCTCAGAATCCTTTACATTTTGCTTCTGCCGTGGGGCACTTGGATTTTACAAAGAAAATACTGGAACTGAAGCCTGAATTTGCTAGACAGGTGAACGCAGATGGATATAGCCCCATGCACTTAGCATCTGGATGTGGGCACATACAAATAGCAAGAGAGATGATCAGAATTGACTCAAATATATGTCGTCTTGTAGGCAAAGAAGGTGCAACACCTCTACATCTTGCTGTGCTAGGAGGGAGGGTTGACTTAATAAGCGAAATTCTAGCTAATTGTGAAGAATGCATAGAGGATGAGACGGTTCAGAAAGAGACTGCTTTGCATCTTGCTGTCAAGAGCTTCCAGCTTGAGAGTTTGCGGGTTTTGCTGGATTGGAACAGGCAAATGGGCAAAGAAGACATTCTTAATAGAAAGGATGAACATGGGAATACCGCCCTGCATCTTGCAATCTGGAAGAAGCAAAGACAGGCAAGTCTCATCTTTGTGAAGTTTTTTGACAACTCAAGGAATTCATATGTTGTGCATATTTACATTGCCGTCTTTGAACTATGATCTGCTTTTTTTCCTTTTCTTGTTAAGATTTAGATTTCTGCCAAACAAATATTGATTCTTTCCTTGAAAATTTCTAAAATTGATTGTAGCTTAGGCTGTGGTTTTGCTTCTGGGGAACAATTCTAGGACTCTGGAAGTGAATGCAGTAAACAAGAGTGGTTTGACAGCACTGGATTTGTTGTTGATTTTCCCAAGTGAAGCGGGTGACAGAGAAATTCAGGAAATACTTCAGGGTGCTGGGGCATTAAAAGCTCAAGATCTTACCCTCGATGACACAACTTTTACCTCATCAACTAACGATCCTTCAGTAAACGACCATTCAAAGGATCTCATTGATTATTTCAGATTTCACAGTGGAAGAGATTCACCAAGTGATGTACGAAGTGCACTCCTAGTTATAGCTGTGTTGGTAGCAACAGCAACATACCAAGTTGGTATCAGCCCTCCTGGTAGTGTATGGCAGGATGATAGTCAAGGCCATCTTGCCGGGACTTCTGTCTTGGGCACCCATGACTTAACTTCATTCATCTTGTTAGTTTCTTGCAATTCTATTGGATTTAATGTCTCTGCTTACATGATAGCTAAATTAACGGCGAAATTCCCCTTACAGACAGAGCTTCAAATATGTCTCTTAGCGCTTTACATAACATTTAATGTTGCTGTAACTGCTACTTCACCCAAGGGTGCCAGAGTTTTCTCAAACGTGTTCACTTCTGTGTTGCCTACTGCGGTCCCTGTATGCTGTGGTTTGCTCCGAAAATATGAAGTTTTCAAACGTATCAGGGGCATATTTCGAAAATTTCGGTGAGAATGTTGAAGTGGGGTGCTGCAAATGAGACAAGAAATCATAATGTTATTCATATTTCATTGTAGTAGTAGATATTTGGAACCCATCCTGTTTGTTGTATATTGTTGTATTGTACTAAGAAATTCTTGAAAACTTGTCTTTTGAATACAGGAAGTAATACTTGCAAAGCTTTTCATAATTACATGATCTTATCAAAAACTCGAATTGAAATATGCCCTTGCGACCTTGTGAGCAGGATATCCTGATATTTCATCATTACCTATTTAGTTAGGGATCCTCAAATGATCTTACTCCGTAGTTGGCTTGAAATTTTGGAGGTCAAAGCAATAACTTTTTTTTAACGATTTAATTAAAATTTACAGTATACTTACACTTAGAGAGTTGATACAAATGTACAAACTATATACTCGTATCAAAATGTCATGATACATTTACAGGGGTTGACAACGGTGATTTTTCGAGGTTTAAACTCGACAACCAATCCAATAAAGCTGTGTTGACGAGCTCAGGGACTTCATCATGAGGGCAATGTCCAGCTTGAAGATTTACAACTGTTGTATTGGGATAAAATTCCTTGATCTTCATGGCCTTGGTAGGACCAACCCAGGGGTCGAGGTCTCCCCAGAGCAGTAATAACGGGCAAGACAATTGGCTTAAGAGGCTGTCAAGTGTGTACTTTCTCTGGTTTGACATGAACCGAGACATCAATCTATCACCAAAGCACCAAAATAAGAAGCAATTCTATTCTCACAAGCTCAAAATGAAGGAGTTTGACGCTCCATTATTTGGATAGCCAATTACTAGGGGAATTAGGGGGTTGGTGTTGGACAGGCTGTTTAGGTACATAGTTATTATGAAATAATTACAGTGAAATTATGAAAGGGAATACATCAGAGCATGACAGCATGCATACCTGTAATAAACCTCTCCAGCTTTAGGGTCTGATGCTGGTTGGGTAATGGACTCCACGAGGTAGTCATCCACGTTAGAGCTATTTATGTACACCTACACAATAGTGATCCAAAATCGACTACTTCAGTATAGTAAAAGAGTGCTTGAAATCTTGAAAGTAGCTTTGAGTTTACAAGGTTAGCAACTAACACTTTTAAGCACTGATTCAACGCGAGCTGGCTGTTTTGCCTGCCAGAATAAAAATCCAAGAAAAACACGCTGAAAAATTTCTTTGAAAGGCTTTATAAGCTTCTCCAAGATATTCGCCTCAGATTCTTCAGTTTTGGCATTTGGATCTCCAAACTGCCCAGCAGAGTTTAAAAGTACAACTCCATTAACTTTTTCAGGCAAGCTAGCTGCTGATGCCAGTACAGTAAAGCCTCCAAGGCTGTGGAAAGACCGCGTGTTGCAAAACAGAAGAAATAGGAAATCAGAAGCGCTTTGCTTTACATGTAAAGTTTCTGAAGAGCTACATTCAGAATTAAAAGGAAAAAAAAAACCTATTAATCCACCAGTTACCTGTTCCCTACCAGAACAGCAGGTTCCTTGACAATTTCGTTGATAAAATCAACCACTTGGTCTCTCCAAATAATAGCATCATAGTCAATGATTGCTTTCTCACTCCATCCAAACCCAAGCAAATCTATTGCATAGACTTTATACTTTTTGGCCAACTCAGGTACGTTGTATCTGCACATGAAAGAAGAGATCATACACACTTATTGCTGTTACATTTGTAATGGAAGCAAGGTCTCACTAGCTTGTTCAACAACAGATCCCATATATGATCCATTGGTAGATTTTAGCATTCTCATGTAATAATCTTATGTGTTCGTCGGATCCTAAAGACTTCAACATAAATAAGGACAAACCAAACCATGGAAATTTATCAAATAATAGCCAAGTTTCACACTTGGACGACATGAATCAATGTCTGACACCAATACCCAAGCCCTGCTAACATTGGTCACAAGCTCACGATACACACAACCGTCTAAAGTTTTAACCTTCAAGTGTACACCAAATCAACACCTTACAAGACTACAAGATTCATGATGGGGGAATTTGTGAAATTTATTTTGGACAAAGCTTACAAATTATTCAGTGTCAGACATTGACTTCAGAAGTTCAGAGCTATTAAAGAGTTTAATATGGCTTAAACACTAAGATCAAACAAACAACAAACCTCCAATGAAATGCAGAGGCACCAAAGCCATGTACAAGAACAATTGGGGGACCCTCTCCTTGCTCCACATAATGTATTTTGTGACCTCTCCAATTCCAAAAATTATATCCTTCTGGCTTGTATGTCAGTATTTCCAGCCCTGGAAAGACAATGAATCTTCATAAAACATTTTATCACTTTCATACCCTCCGAAAAACAAAAAGAAAACTAATGTTGATCTAAATGAACACTGGGAGAAACGAAAAATTTAACCCCAAATTTATAATTCAACTGCAAAGATGTCATTTGTAGCATGAAAATAGCATGCCATTACACATTCTTGCCTTTGTGACAAAGTGGCTGCATTCATTGGAATCTCAATTAAAGTGTCAACTCATATACTAACTTATACAAAAGTACACAACATATATATGACAGGTAAATCTCAAACAATATACAATAATACAATCGCGCGCACACATACAAATTGCCTTCAATACTTGGTAATCATGGTATATCTTGCTCACTTACAGTCTAATAACCAAGATTTTACAGAATTTGGATTTTTAGAAGTATCCATACACATCTAAAATCTCTTTAATGAGATATAATTGTTTTTGCCTAATGTTCTTATAACTCAGATCATGGACTATGATTAATCTATCTTCAATAACATATGATTTACATTTATGCATTTCCATTCTCTTTTTATACATATTACTTCAACTTAATTTCTTAGCTACATGTATTGCATTTTCTTTCAAGATTACACCTTTTTCAATTCTCTCTCTATTTGTCAACATTCTCCTACTTTTGATGAAAAAGTAAAGTGTAACCATTATTTCGAAACGGAGAGAGTATAAATTAAAGGGTACGAGTGGAGTACCTTGTACAGGTTTTATAGCAAGGGAAGCCGACTCCATGGCTGTGATTCCAGCAGCTACAATTCCTCTCAAAGCAATACCCCTCCTACTAATTTGGTATTTGCTCCCTTCTTTAAACCCAGTAAAAAAAAATAAAAATAAGAATTATAACTTTTTTCAAAAAAATAAATAATAAATCAACATTTGTAAGTAGGAATTGAATTAAGCATACCTGGGTGACAGAATCTTAAAGGAGCAGAAAAGCCCCTAGAATGAAGAAATAATTGATGTTTATTGAGTTTGAATGCAGGAGTTGATGATGTAAGGCATGATGAAGAAGACAACATTGAAAACCCAGGTATGAATACTAACAAGTTAAGGAAAACTATTTTTTTCTGTAAAATCTATTTCAATTGGTATAATTTTTGCTGGGGAAAAGTTCTGTTGAAGTTTATATTAGCACCAATTTTATTTATTTATTAATTTTCTGGGTTTGATTAACTATTTATGTGGATAGAGGTTGGAGGGAAATTTTTAGGCGTGGCCAAATGTAAGCCAATTCTTGCCAATTTTTAGCAAAATATCTACCATTTTCACCTTTGTGTCTAAACTTTGGGTTAGAGCTAAGAAACCAAGGTTATGGATCTCGTTTTGTACTTATGAGTAGCAGAATAACTTTACTTTTTCGATTTTCCCTTATAAATTTAAGTGTTGACTTGTGTAAAAAAAAACTAAATCGGGACAAGTTAGTTTTAGTGGAAACTGAAAATGGTAGGAGAGATCTTGTTTACTCATTATACCATATATGCTTAAGAGTAGAGGAATTTTCTTACTTTTTCAATTTTACATTATAATTTAAGTGTTGTCTTGTATAGAAAAAAAACTAAATTAGGAAACCTTAAATACTCCGTACAAAATGTGGAAAATATTGGACAAATTATTTAGAACATCACAAACCAAGGAAGTATCTCACTTGTTTTTAGCCTTCTTACCTTTATAATTTTGAAGCTTGTTAACACACAATTTAATCATTAACATATCTAATTAATTAAAATTGCATAAATTACTCATTAAGAATGTTATAAAATTTACATGAGTTTTTTTAAATTTATTTTTTTAAAATAATAAAATTATAAAATAATAAAATTGTGTGAAACGTATGTAAAATAATAAAATTATTATTTTAATGTTACAAATATTAAAATAATAATAAAAAAAATCCTTTAAAAAAAATGTATTAAAATAATAAAATTGTGGAATAATAAAATTATTATTTTAATGTATTTTTTAAAAAAATAATAAAATTATCATCTTAATGTTACAAATATTAAAATAATAAAATTGTGTGAAATGTATGTGAAGCAGTTGAAGCCTAAAAAAAAAGTAACTTCTTTCCCAAAAAATAAATAAAAAGAAAGTAACTTTAAAGCAAAAGATGAAGGAAAATAGGAAAGAATATGTCCCCGGAGAAACCACCATGGCATTGGACTGGTTCTCAAAATTAAAACCTGTAAGTTTTCTGTTTAATTTCATTTCATTTCAAATTCATTCAATTTTATACTCATTCATTCAATTCAATTCTATAAATTTTTTAAATAAAAAATCAATTTCTATTACCTTTCTCCCCACAAAAATGAAGAGAGAACTAGATAAGAGCTCCGAATCCTTCGATTGAGGAATAATATGGTTAGTCCCAAATTCGTTAGAACCAACTTGCTTTGACATTTACTTGAATAACTTGATTCAATTTGAAAAGGGAAACTAGAATTCTAATTTTTCACAATTTTTAATTTGTTGTTTAGAACACTGTATAAATTAATGGACTAATCTTGTGTTAGGTTTAGTGTACAGAAAAACTCGACTTGTGTATAACCTTAAACAATAAACGATAATTAATATAAAGCGGAGGGCGTAAAAGGATGGAAGAGAGAAATGCAAGTAAGATGAATCAGTTAGCATTTGATACAGCTTATAGCCGTTGACCCTGTATATGAACATCACAATATTCACAAGAATCTTACAAGGTTTCATCTCTGATTTGGTCATGACTCATGAGACAACGAGAAACGATGAGTAAAAGCATGCTTTAGAGATAACATGGGCATGAACTTGGGTGTAAAGTATATAATTTTCATTAATTTATTGTTTTAGAACAAGTTTCTACACTATATATAGAGACCCTTTTTGAAAATTTATTATGAATTTCAGCCTGAATTATTATTAATTTTTTTAATATATTTTTGTCAAGTTTGTGATAATCAGTTTAACTGTTTTCGGTCTGTGCTAGAGTGATCCAGCAGTTGTTGCCTGTTTTTTTGCCTTTTGTTTTCTTAATGATCGACAAGCTTGATAAATTTTTTTTCTTGGATTGCTGGATTTATATTAGGGAGGATGAAATTTTGCAAGAGTTATGAAAAATACATGAAGCAATTGGGGAAGACCCTTCCCGGGATTGGATACAGAAGGCTAAAGAAAAATATTAACCAGTGCAGGAATCATATGAAGTCCCAAGATGAGGCTGTTAGTCCTCTTGATTGTTCAGGTAAGTAATAGGGAAGAAAGAATTAAAGGCTTAAATTTAGTCCGAATTTAAGATAAGATGGCCTAGACGGGTGTCTGGTATAATCATTAGATCGCTTATAAAACTCAGCTCATATTTTTGCAACAAACTGAACAAAGTAACCTTATTGTACCAAGCACCTTTCTTAGTGTAGAAGTACCATAAAATTTATGTCTAAGATATAGGCAGAAAAAAAAAAAAAATAATGAAAGTGACTAAATTTAGTATATGTGGAAGCAGTTCTAGTTTTGGTCCTATTCTAATCTGGAAGCATTATTCTCTATTTGTTTACCCTAATCCTTCACTTTCTTGCAGTGTGTGACGGGATTTTTTTCCCTTCCCTCTTTGACGAAATGTCAGCTGTGGTTGATTGTTTTGACAAAGAGGCTCGGAAGTTGCTTGACCCACCATTGTCATGCCCATGGGGCATTTGGAGGTACTCTTGTTTTGACTGCTCAGGAAATGGGCGAAAAGATCATGTTTTGATGAAAGAGGGTCAAGAACTGCTTATTTATGCAATGGTTAATGCCATTGCATTTAGGAAAATCCTTAAAAAGTATGACAAGGTATATTCTAAATACTTTGCAGTTTGCATATTAGTAAGATGGAGTAGAAAATGTTTATTCTAACTAGTACTAGGCAACAAACATGAGGCAAAATGTATGAAATACTCTCAGTTAGACTTGGGTTGGGAGCTACGGAGTATCAACATTTCACCCCATGTTAGTTGCCTAATTGTTAGGCAATTACGTAGTTAAGACTTTTTTTGAGTTTTGTCCATGGAGTAGCACTATAGTACATGCATAATATATTGTTTTCTTACAAGTGATTTGTTGGTTGGTAAGGTTCATAAGAGTGAAAAAGGCCGGGAATTCAAATCAGGTTCCCAGGTTAAACACATCATGATCCTTCAATCTCCTTGGTTCCATGAGCTCATGTCTTTCCTGATCAACTTGAGGGATAGAAAATTCAAAGATACAAGCCCAGATGCGTCGCTGTTTGAAGATTTAGCCCTCATGTTTAACAATGAAATCCCTTCGATGAGTTGTGGACTTTTTGATTCCTTCTGGGTTGATGTCAATTTGATCTGTCCTATTTGTTTGGTATGTCAATCTTAGCTTGTAACTTTCTTAGTTATAATGGATGCATGCTAATAAAACTAGTGTCTATGACTTTAAGTTTTCTTGCTGGAATCCAAATGATCAGAAGCCATAGGAATATTGAATATAGGATGATTCTCGATCTATAAACCATCCTCTTGTGTTATAATACCTTGTTAAATGTTTTTTGGTTTGTAATATAGAACAAAAGTTGGTATGAATTGCATAGAGTAGTAATTGTTTGCATTGTCCTAGCAGATTTGTACATTGTTGTATCTAATATTCTTATGACTGACATGTTAAGACATGAACAGGATATAGTCTTTGATGCGGTGGCTCTTAGATGTGGACATATCTTATGCTATATGTGTGCTTGCTCTGCTGCTTCAGTGACTATAGTCGATGGCTTGAAGGCAGCTACTCCAAAGCAGAAGTGTCCTCTATGTCGAGAGGTAACCACTTTTGCAAACGTGCATTTGGGTCTATATATAATCACAAAACATAATTCCATAAAATTTAAAATGCAGTAAGCTTAGCTTTCATGGCATTATACTCATAATTTTAAGGTAGTTAATGATTGAATTTGACCTTTCATGTAATCATATTAATAAGTAAAACAGATAGATAATCATTACTACTTAAATTGATAGATTGCTATAACTTTATGAGCAAAGTAATTAACAGTGACTGGCAATTCTTAACTTTAGTGGCATCACTAATAAACTTATCATTCGGATCATCTTCCATGTTTATTCAGGCTAGGGTGTATGGTAATGCCATCCGCTTGGACGAATTAAACATTCTGTTAAGCAAAAGGTGTGTTTATTGTCCCAAGCATCCTCTTCGGAAAATGAAGTATATAAACTCACAGTATCCTGACAATTACTATTAACGCGCAGGTGTCCTGAGTATTGGGAAAAGCGGCTTGAGTCAGAGAGAGTAGAGAGGCTTCGGCTGGTGAAGGAACATTGGCAGTCACAAGTGAATGGTCTCTCATGACAGTTTGAGCTTTGTTGTTATAATTGCCCTCTTTCTAGTGCAAGTGTATGTTGGGACAAGATCGATTTTTGCAAACATTAGCTCGAAGAGTCTGATTTTTTGTAACTAATGTAAATGTAATAATGGTATATATGATCATTTCACATAAGTATATAACACTATATGTCTATAACCATAGATGTCATTTTGTTAGCTAACTTAATTGTAATTGGTTAAATATACATGGCAATATGGCATCATATGTATCTATCTTTGTTTTTAATACTTGAGAAAATACCAATAACCTTATGAATCTTGTGTTGCTGTTGTGGGATCAAATGGTGCTTACACTGCTATTGTAAAAGGATTTAGGTTTGATTTTAACCGCCTCCCATGCTTGGCCATGCGTCTGGGCCTACCGATCTTCCTCTCCACCCTGTTGTTAGGTTTTGGAGCTTCTCCGAGTCATACGTACATGATCGCCAAATGGACCAAATACATGACTATACTTTTTGTTATACATTGATGAGTGCTTAAGATGAAAGTTCTACCATACAAAAAAAAAAAAAAAAAAATCAAAGTTCTACTACGCTCTTAGACCAAAACATTCCAATTAAGCACATCAATATAAAACGGAAAGAGTACTATTATTATAATGCTACATTGATGAGAGCTTAAGATCAAAGTTCTACTACACTCTTTGACCAAAACATTCCAATTAAGAGTATCAACATTAGGGTTGTTCAGAGTGCGCTTGCAGTTTGGTGGGTTTGCATTTTGAAAATTGTGGTGCGATTTATAAAACTAACCAAATCACGGTTTTGCAGTTTGGTGCGGTTTAAAAAAAATTAGATTAAAACGCACCGCAAACCATACTTTGATGCGGTTTATACCGTCAAATCGTAAACCGTTAAACCATTTTTATACTATTTCTGTTAAAGAATATATAAAATCTATTAACTATTACTAAAACAAAACGTTGCTGATGTCATCACTGTCCACATGTCATTCTCATAATAAATTTTCCCGCCTAAATGCAAGGATGATGTCATCTTTTTTTTTTTTTTTTTTTTTTTGTGAAACTACCATGTATATTAAACAATTTTGAAATTTGAATATAAAAAGCTTCTACATTACAAATACAATCTATCAATTTATTCTAAAAAAAATGAAACAATTGTAAATAGCACACTTATAAATGGACTCCTACATTGAAATATGTATTAAGCGACGTTGAACATGTATTATATCATAATTTTGATGAAAATCTAAAATTTTAAATTTACAAATATTTTTGTACAAGGTGCATAATTCTTATTATATTTATCCATTTTTTTTAAAATGTACAAATTATAAAAATAATTTTTATATAAACCATGCATCACACGGGTTCTAACCTAATAACTTAAAATATGATGTAATCTTTTACTACTAGCTAATTAAAAGTTTAAAAAAAGTTTAAATACTTGAATTATATGTTTATAATCCCAAAGTAAAATAAAAGTCTTTTTATAAAAAAATTTAAATTTTTTTAAAAATATGAATAAATCGCAAAGTGCACCAAGTGCGGTTTGAAAAAATGCAAATCGTAATTGTGCGGTTTGAATCTCAAACCGCATCAAAAACAGCCTAATCAATATAAAACGAAAAGAGTACTATAATTATTTATGATAACGTCATTTGATGACACATGATGAATGCCCACATATTTATGAGGCTGGAGGACTTTGGTTAGACATTACCTTTAAGAAATTGAGGCATTAATTTAATGTACTTATATATATTTACCCACATTGTATAAATTTCAGTTTTGTTTTATACGAGCCCACTCAGTCAGGCATAATTTGGCAGCTACCTCTAGGTCCTCTACGGATCAACCAAAAATTGTTAAAAGATTCGTAACAAAATTTTATACGATGAAAAATTGTACGGAATACTAAAATTGTGACAAAAGTTCCTTAAATTTCTACTCCATACCTATTTTAAGAGGTTAGTTTTAGTTACATTACTGTCAGCTGTGTAGTACTGTAGTTGTCGTTTGACAGATAAAAAACGTGAGATTTACAAAGATATTTTAATTCTTTTGACGCTACGTAAAAAGAAAACAAACACAAGAATGCATACTATCCAGTATCCACTACTTAAAGGCCCACGGCCTTTTGATGGGACTACCATTAAATGACTTATTTAAGCTTTTATATATGCAACAGAATTAGGAACTAGGAAACTAACATGATATGGAATTGTTAGAGCAAACTTCCTTGGATGGATGAGGGGATCTGATAATGTATAGCGAACAACTCATCACGTCCTTTTAACACTATGATCGTTAAACTCCTTCTTTTCGATCTTTTTGATTGACATACAACTTAATAGTCGAAAGTACGTTAGAACATCGTGTTCTCTTGACCTTATTCAATCAATTCTTGGAGGTGATCGACAAATGAAGACTTGAACCCTTTGCCAAGATAGCTTCTTCTTGCACCTTAGCTTCTTGTTGCTCTTTTGCACTTTCATGTACACAAGAGCTTCTTGTTGCTCTTTTGCACTTTCTTGTTGCTCTTTTGCTCAAATGAGGTAATAACATTCCTTTTCCATTTCATTCTCATTTTCACCCTTGCTGCCTCGATTATCCTTTGCTACTTTAACTTGAAATAAATTTTCAGACTTGAAATTGAAATAATTGTGGAATAAAAAGGTTGTCATATAGGGAACAATTACAAAGTATAATAGAGTTTCACAGAGTAAGGTAAGATGATGAATCGAATGTTTACACAAATAGAAAAGCAAAAAGTGCATAAAGCTTTTAAAAAAACAACTGAAAAACGAACGAGTATCCAAAAAATAACTTCACTGTAACTATCTAAAAATAGGCAAAAAACATATTTATATAACTTTTTTAATAATAAATGTTGTAAGAATAATTTTTTGGCAAGATATGAAGATTGAAAGATAAACATACTTGTGTTGTATACGAGGACTACAAAAGAGCATAACCACACAGAAGGTGAGGAAGGAAACGAATCAAACGATGCAACATGATACGCATATGCATATTTAAAAATAAAAATAAAAAAATTAAAAAATTAAAGGAAAGCGACATTTTTGGGTAGTTCTCATTTCACAGGGAACGGGTCACAATTCCATTGGGCAATTTCTAATAAATTAATAATATACTTGTATACAATTACCAAAAAAAAAAAAAAAAAAAAAAACATTAATGTTAATTGGCTTTGTTGATGAGTAATTATGAGAAGGTTACTCCCTCTGTTTTAAAATAATTTACATATTTAAATTTGACACATAGTAACGCATAACTTTAACCTTAGATCTATATAATTAATGTTAGTAAAAATATAAAAAAGTTAATATTCTAAAACTGTATATTAATATCTATTTAACAATATGTTTCATGATAAAATTTATTTTTATACGTTAACTGAAAAATAATGGTCAAAATTAGTATATGAATAGTGAAATAAAGTCTAATGTACGTGTCAATTATCTAGGAACAAAGGGAGTATGAGGAATTGGTACATAAAACTATGTTAGTTCATCCTTATAATGTCGGTAATATATATAAATTGGTTACTTGTATAGTTGTATGGTACTAAAAAAATAAAATCATTTATGAGGGAGAGATTTTTTTTTTTTGAACAATGAGAGGGAGAGAATTTAATTATAAAGTGAACTGACATCATTTGACTAATTTATTGTATATTTCACAACAGATTATAATGTCAAGTGACTGCAGTCTATCATTTAAAAACTTACTATATAAAGCAAATGATTATTGTACTCCGGAGTATTTTTCTTAGAAACAAATCACGGATTTATTCGATGGAATACTTTGATTTAATGATGATTTATCAATAAAAATCAACGTAATTCACCAACAATATCAAGAAAAAATGTGAAAGAAACACTTGAGGTTGAGATCTTCGCTAAGTCACTATATATATTGTCTGGTTTCTAAAACCTTGGCAGTTGGCACAACTGCACAAGTCTCAACTCTCCAAAAAAAAAACTCGTACAATCAACTACTCTAGTACTCTTTATTTTTCTTAGTTCTTTTTTGAACAGAAAAATTGAGGGATGACTCCTATGGAAGCATGGCTAGCTGAATTGGTAAGAAAATACTTTATTAACTCCATCAAATTTTTTGGACATAATTTTTCTATATATGATGACGTAATAACATCTGGTAACTAATAAGTCTATAATAATTTAAGTTTGTGCAATAATGTCTATATGCGTAATGTTTGTGTAGAATTTAAAATTTTGGCCGTTGTTTTATTTGGTTGAACATAAAAAATTGCATTGTACGTCTATTCATTGTTAATATTTAGTACGTCTAAACTACTAATTAATAAGTACATAGTAATATAAGTTTGTACAACAATTTCTAAATATGTAATGTTTGTGTAGAGTTTGAAGATTTGACATTCGTTTCAATTGGTTGAACATAAAAAGTTACAATTTCTATTTAGTGTCAATATTTAGCACGTCTAAACTACTGAGCAATAGAACAAAATAAGATCATATTATAGCCGAAAGGAAGCGCCGTGAATTAATCACTCAGATGTTCATATCTCTTTCCACCCTTGTTCCCGGACTTAAGAAGGTAATTATTTCTTAATGTGATTATAGTGAAATTCTAATCAATTCCTTATAAAGATGATATAAGAGCAATTTTTAGAAATATAGGCCCCGTTTGTGGTTTTCAAAATGTAGTTTTCGATCATTAATATCTCTAATTATGTACTTACGATGCATTAGAATAAACTTAAAAACACAGGTACTGCATACGTAGTGTATGAGAACATTTTTATTAGTATTTTAAAGCGTTAGTTGCATGTAAACATGGTTGTGGGCCGGAAACGCTGGCATGGCTAGGCCACTAGGGATGTATTGTGATGAAATTTTCAAATACTACCTTCGTTTCTTATTAATTGCTACATAGAGGTATTACTTGTGATACATAAAAAATTCAATTGTTGAATTGAAATTAATAAGAAACGGTAGATGACTTACATATCGCCGAAGCTAATGTGCCATGAACCTGTATATATGATGCTTACGAACTTATGTTGTGCCTACCTTGCAACTTTGTTGTGTCGTGTCTTTTTCATGTCAGCGCAACTTGTCCTATTGCCATCTTATATAGTTAGTTGTATGCATCCATTGAAAATCCATATGATGCTTATAAGCTTATGTTTTGCCTACCTTGCACCTTTGTTGTGCTGTGTCTTTTTCATGTCAGCACAACTTGTCATACTGCCATTTTAATTAGTTGTGTGCATCCACTAAAAAATCCATTTACGGGAAGATTTTTTATTTTTTTGACACAATATATGACAAGATTAAGATACTTGAGTTACTGTTAAAGAATCTCTATGCGATATATTGTTAATAACACTCTGCATAATTAATTAGTTAGTGTCATAGACGCAGGTTGATAAAATAACAGTCTTAACAGAGACAATCAAATATGTGAAGCAACTTCAAGAGAAAGTGAAGGTACTTGAAGAAAAGGCAGATGAAAAGAAGGTTATAGAGTCCATGGTTGTTATGGTAAGAGCCCATAAAATTACAGTCGACAACGATAATGATAATGATTCTTCCTCTGCCATGGGTGACAATTGTGCCGATGGGAGTGGTGGTTGTAACTCCAATATTGGTGATAGTAACAACGATGAGAAAGACACTATCAATCTTTCATCACTGCCAGAAATCGAAGTTAAGAAATTGGGCGAGACGCTACTCGTAAAAGTATGTTGTGCAAAACAAAAATGGACTTTACCCAAATTATATGCAGAGTTGTACAAACATGATATAAGTATTACATATTCTAATGTTACACCCTTTGAGAGATTGGCCATCATTACCATAGTTGCACAGGTAACATTACTATAATTTATATTCAAAGACCTTATATATGCATACATTTATTAATAATTATATAGATTTAGTGAATTTTTGTAAGATCAAATCACTTTATAAAATTTAGCTTCTACCTATCAACAACAAAAAAAAAAAGAGTTTAGCTTCTAATGCGTGAACAAAAAACTAGAGTTAATTATATTGTAATTGCTGTGAATTCTAAAAGATCAATGATTACTGTAGAATTTTCAAAGAAATGTTGTTGTTTCATATGTTACTTGTTGTTTCATATTTTATTCTAATAACACATGATGAAGTTAAGTAATAAACCCTTTATTTTATGCAGATGGGGAGGAATTTCAACAAGAATGTGAAAGATTTTGTTAAAACTCTTTGCACCACTCTCCGTGAACCCGTACGTGACGGTTAACTAGCCACGTTTTAGTCACTAACCGCGTCATGCATACAATGAATTTCACTATCGGATGTACAATGAATTGGTACAATGAATTTTCACTATCGGATGTACAATGAATATCACGTTTTAATTTTGTAATTAGGTTTTTTTTTTTTTTTCTCTTTCATTTTTTTTAAATAACAATTTTAATAAAGTGAAGGGGCACGTGTTATCTGACCCCTCTTACTAGATCTAGGAATGACAACGGGTCGGACTCGGAGCGGTTCATGCTAAATCCGACTCTAACCCTACAAGAAGTCGAAGGCTAAATTTGACTCCGACTTCAATATCCAACCTCCAACTCCGACTCCGAGTTTTTTTCGGTTATTCAATATACTTTGAGAAATTGGGCTATTTGGACCTTTGCAACTCACACCCATTGCTGCCACTACCCACACCCAAATCTAAGATCCTTCGAAGTCGGACATTTGTTGGATTCGGATTATCTGTAGGATCCGACTCCGACCTTCCTTCGACTCAGAGTTAGATTATTTTAACAGAATCGGAGTCGGATTACTTTTTTCCTCAAATTGGGGCAGATCCGAACAGGATTGCCATTCCTAACTAGTTCTGCTTATGTCAATTACTAAGATTTTTTTTTTTTTTTTTTAACTTTCAAATTTGTGTGCTGTAATAACTACTTCTTTCTTCTCTAAAAGTTACTACGTATTTAAGAAATGAAGAAGAATAAAATGGAGTGCAATGAGATTTTATGCACCTAGTATGAGTTAATCACTCTCGAACTACCATTGTAGTATTACGGATTACGAGTTTTAAAAAAAAAAAAAAAGTTTCTAATTTTGGCCTTGTAATTTTCTATTACTCCGTATGAGATTTTCGAGGAACACTGCTAACTCGCCTAACTGATTCACTTACTAGCAGACTACTGTAGTAAATACTTAGGGGCTGTTTGGTTTGTACAGGGTAAACGGAATGGAATGAACAAAGGGAATGAAAGAAATGAAATGGAATGAAAATCCCTCAAATGTAATATGTTGTTTGTTGTAAAAAAAACAATGGGAATCACTACCACCACTACACCAGCACCACCACACCCACACAACCCCTCTTTCTTCACTTTCTCACTTTTTCCAGCCACCCCATTCCCGTCGCACCAGTCTCCGCCCTTACCTAACCCGTCGCCGGAACTCGCCGCCCCTCCCTAACCCTTCGCCGCACCCTGAAACCACTACACCACCACCACCACCACCACCACACCCACTCTTTCTTCACTTTCCCACTTTTCCAGCCACCCCATTCCCGTCTCACTAGTCACCGCTCTTCCCTAACCCGTCGCCGGAACTCGCCGCACCTCCCTAACCCTTCCCCGCCCCTCGAAACTACCTTCCCTCCACGGAAAACCTTCCCCACACCATGCATAAGGGTTTTCTAGGGTTATGCATGGGTGTGGGGAAGGTTTTCCGGGGAGGGAAGGTAGTTTCGGGTGCGGCGAAGGGTTAGGGAGGGGTGGCGAGTTCCGGCGAAGGGTGAGGAAGGGGTGGTGACTGGTGCGACGTGGGGATGACTGGGATTAGGGAATTTTTTGGAGGGAGTTGAGGGGATGACCGATGATTTTCGAGGGAGTTGAGGGGATGGTCGGCGAGGGGTGGGGGAGGTGCGGCGAAGGGTAGGTGATGGTGCGGTGGTGCAATTTCCGGTGATGTGGGTAGGTAGGAGGGTGGTGGTGTGGTGGTGGCCAAGGAATGGAATGGAAATACCTTGGGGGAGTGAGGAATGAACTTGAAGGGATTTGGAGGAATGAACTTGAAGGGATTTGGAGGAATGAAGGGGGTAAAAGGAATCGAAAAAATAGCCTAACAAACAACAACAAAGGGAATGGAAATCGACGACCCCCAGCCAAATGGCCCCTTATTATATTCAATCTTTAAACATTAAAATCCAAAAATCTTCAACCAAATTGATGCAGAAATCAATGGAAGCACCATTACGAATTCTAAACCCTAGTTATCGCAATTTCAATCTCAATCTAAATCGTCAAATTTCCCTTAAATTCAACCCCAAATCACACTCTCTTTCTCCCACTCTCAAATCTCAATTTCACAATTCTCTCTCCTCAAATCCCTTCAAAAACCCCATTTTCAATCCCCTCAATTTCCCCAATTCTTCCCAATTAGGGTTCTTCCTTTCTCTCTCCTCTTCCTCCTCCAATTCACAATTTCAACCCAATTACCACCTTAACAATGGCGGTTTCTTCCACTGGCACAAAGCATCGGCGCCGGTCGCCGGAGTTCCCGCCGCCGGTGGGAAACCCGAGGTTGCGGCGGTGATACTAGGGTGGTTAGGAGCGACGCCGAAGCATTTGAGGAGGTAAGCGGAAATGTATACTTCAAGAGGGGTTGATGCAATTACATTTGTTGTTCCTGTGAAAGACGTGCTTTGGTTTGATTTGGGGAAGAAGGTTGAGAATCGGATTCGAGAGTTGGCAGATGAGCTCGTTTCGTGGTTGTCGAATGCGGAAGGCCGAGAACGACGCTTGATCTTTCACACATTCAGTACTACTGGTTGGCTTGTGTAGGTTTATTCTACATTTTCCTAATTACCAATTTTATTTGTATGTGTAAATTTTGCTTTGATTATTGAAATGTGGTTAATTTTCTAAATTATTAGTTTAGAATACTAATGCACAATTGCCTTTACTTAAATTTGTATGCATTGTATATAAATATGGTTATTTTGAAGTAGAGGGAGTGTTTTTTTTTTTCTTTTTTTTTTTGATGAATTGGATGGTTGGGATTAGGTGCATTGTATGGTTAAGGATGAAATTTGTCTAATTTTTTTAGTTTAGAATACTAATGCAATTATTGCAATCACTTACCATGTATAATTGTGTGCATAATTTATAAAGGCAGTTATTTTGAAGTAGGAGTGTTATTTTTGATGAATTGGATGATGGCAATAGGTGCAATACGTGGTTAAGGGTGGTATTTAGTTTTGTTGATTTAGTTTTGATTATCGTGCCTCGACTCTAGAGTGCATTTGTGAATTTTGACTAGCCATTGGCTAATTGATTGTGCTTTGATCTTTGTATGAGACATAGAGTTGGTGGGCTATTTGTATCAGCAAGAGCTCTTATGTCGTGGGTTTTTACTGAGGGTGCAAAAATTTTGGTTGTTATGGGAGCTCCCTGTCTCTAATCGTTAGTGGTGGCCATTTGCATGTGTACAAGTAATGTATGGTGATAATGATTTGGTGTTATTCTGTTGTTTTTGTACATATGGATCGATTCTCGTTCATCTGCAGGATAGGCCGTACCTTATAGAAAGGATAAAAGGATGTATTGTTGATTCTGGAGGGGACCCTGAACTTAACCCTAAGGTAATTGTGTTGCTTCTCAGCTTGTTATGAGATGCTTGATGTTTTGTTGTCAATTCTATTGATTTTAGACTTTAGAGGTGATGAAATCTCTTTGATTTGCAAACCCCTTTTTTTTTTTTTTTTTTTTTTTTTTTTTTTTTTTTAAATTTTTGATCTGTAGTATGTCTTTGCTGTCTTCCACGGAATAGTTTGGTGTGCATATAAGGATTACTTAAGGTTCTTCTCTTGTTGTGGCAACTTTTGCATCCCTAGATTGGGATTGGGCTTGCATTTTGGATAGTGCTGTCATGAAGATTCAAGGTTCATGAACAACTCTGTGAAGCCCTAAATCTCTTTAAGTTGCACTAAACGGGTAAAGAAGGCTGATGTTTGTGGGGAATTTTCACCTATGTGTCTTAGACTTGGCATAATTTGGGACATGCCAAGAATTTTTAGAGCTTTATGGAGTGCCTCTGGAGTTCATTAAGACTTTGATTGTAAGCAATGTATCTTCTTTTCTTGGCCTTGGATATCTGAGGATGGTCTGACAAGTTTATAGTTTCCACAGTGGCTCACTGGCGCACAACTGGCCAGCTGGTTGATTGCCTCGCATCTGTTGAAGCTAAGCTATTTTTATGATTTTTAGAGGCAGCCATGTTGGGCGTAAATTGAGCCTGGACCAAAGTGATCTTGGATGGCTTAGCAAGCTGGCATATTCAGGATGACACTAGCCTACATGCTTACTAATGTGTTTTCTTGTTGCAAGATTCCATTTCAAAAATAAACATGAAATGCTCCCACTATCCCAGTCTCTAGGACAATAGGGTCTAGACTTGTATACCATCTTTAAAAGTATTTTTATTTGTTGACAGATTGTGCCCCAGATGGCTTGAGTGATTGTCTCCTATAAGGTTTCCTGCCATAGGTGAGACTTTACTGTTCTGTCTCAACTGGTAATGAGAATTTGAGCTCTATTTCATTACTTTTTTCCAGAGAAAGTATGGCATATTTAAGAAGTGTTATACATACTTCGTAGAACTTTGTATGTGGTAGGGATATAGTGAGTCTCACCCCTCATATTGTTATTCTTATCACTCTTGTTCTTTTGGTTTTTAAGTTAGAGAATACATCATGACCAAATATTTTAGATGTTATAGGTAGATAGTGGGGCTCACCCCTCACTTTGTAATTCCCTATTACTCTTGTTATTTTTATTCTTAAGAAAGAATATTACATCTTGACTGAAGAGTTAATTCCAGTGAGATCCTATAAGAAAAAAAAAAACCCTTGGAAAAGTAAAATGCATGGGAAGGATGAACTATATAGACATTCTTGAAGGCGTTTTTAGGACTCACATATTCTCACATATCTTTCAGGTTTGGGCAGCTGGTTTTACTGCTGCTCTGTTGAAGAAACGGAATACTGTGGTGGTTCCATCGTCTAAGAATGTAGAACCAAGTACTGATAAAAACAAGTCAAACGTGCAGGAAAAAGACCCTCTCATAGTTGAGGCTTTAGTATTTGCAGTTTTGGAGAGAATGTTTTCCTTCCTTTTTAAGTTGCCTGCTGTGAACCAGTAAGTATTCTGTTCAACTTGTTTCATACCTCTTGTTACATAACTTTGAACCACCCTTAATGAATATGCTATTTTGTTTCTTCAATAGGAGATTGATGGAGATCATACATCATCTTTCAGAAAATCAGCCACCGTGTCCTCAGCTTTATCTGTACAGTACAGCAGATAAAGTTATACCATATCGATCTGTAGAGTCTTTTATCGAACAACAAAAGTTGAAGGGAAGAGATGTCTGGTCCTATAATTTTGGATCTTCACCTCATGTAGATCATTACAGGGCATTTCCTGATGTATATACCTCTCAGGTTAACAGTTTTTTTAAAAACACATTTCAATTAAGTAGATGTAGTTTCTGTTGCGTTTCCTTATCCATCATTATTGCTTTATTAGGATGATTACATATTTACATGGTATTAATTATTTTTAAAAGTGCAGTCTTACATGTAACGAAAATTGTCTTTTTTCAGTAAGATGTGTTTTGGAAAACTTGCCAGAGTGTTTTCTACTCTCATTGAGAAAGTTATGGGAGTTTTTTTTTTTTTTTTTTTAAAGCTTCCTATTTACATAAAAGAAGTAGATAAGGTTACTATTTTTTCTAGTTTTGTAGCCTATAAAAGGGCATTACCTTGTACGAGTAACAATTTAATTTTATAGTTGAGTTATTAGACAATTAATTGATTAGCTTTGTGCTTGTTTTTTCAACTTTGTTGAAGCCAGAACACTTATTGGCTTATTGCAATTAGTCTTTATTAATCAATTAATTGAATAATTAGACACCATTCTTGCAAATTGCAATAGTTGGAAACCATCACTGTTGCTTTCTTTGTGGTATAACTATCAGCATTTTGCAATGCAATCCATTCTAGTATTGGAAATTTGCGAAAATTCTTACTTCACAACAAGATGTGAAATATTGTACAACTTGCTCTCCGTATTATTTGTTTTTGAAGGAAATCATATGATTTTCAACTTACTCCTTTATACAATTATACAAGTATAAATCAACCAAGCAAAGATTTATAAGTAGAAATATTGGATTTCACATTAAAAAAGGAAATTCTTTTCAAGAAAACACTAGGTTAAGCCCCTAACCTAAATAGTAACCTCTCTGAGTCTGCGGTGTTGTACTATTGTAAGCTTGTATTTTAGATACATACAAGTACATGGCATTTACTACAACAAATAAATAAAAAACGAAAACGGTTAAAACTTTTTTTTCCCCTCATTGGCTCATTATACATACAAGCTAGGAGATACATGCACATTGTGTGTGCAATATAATATCTCTATACGGCTCTATTCTCCTTTTGTTCCTAAAATATATTTATTTTATTGTAATAAAAAAAATAAGGATGGTAGTTTTTCTTTTTTAAATAAAAAACAAAATAAAAGGTGAAAGGGGTAATTTGGGAAAATAAAATTTATCACCCAT